TCAATTCAATCTATGTGATTTGCACTGAAGAATCAAAATGTAAACAGTCGATAAATAATTGGAGAAAAGTAAAAGGACTATTTAGTCAGATTGGACCTATTTTGGATGAAATTAAGCAAAACATTGAACAAGCGAAAAAAGATTTGACCCCAATTAGTATTCTTATATCTTCATCTGTCAATGATATCAATGAGCTTAATCAATCATTTATGTATTCTCAGTTATTGAAAGAGATTATTCTTGATATGAAATATGATGATAAAGCAAAGCAAAAATTTATTGATTTTTGTCGTATACAAAACTCTGATAGCGAACACCAACGTATTCATATTGATGAATTTGAACGAGTGTATCATCTTCATTCGCCTATTTGGTGGTATACAAAAGAATCATTTATATATTCAGTAATCAATAGAGCTATCAGAATACAAGATACTGAAATTATCATGAAAATGGAATATTTTGTTCAAAATCTCCATAGACACATCGTGCAAATATTCTTTGAATCAAACAATCATCATTCATTGACTGTCTATCAAAGATAAGGAATGCCGAATTTTGAATTTGACAACTTGAGAAAAAGTAAAGGTTCTCTTCTTTCTTTTAATAATTTCTTATCAACAAGTATTGATGAAGAAGTGGCAAAAATCTTTGCAGAGAGTGCTCGAAGTGATCCGGCATTAATAGGAGTTCTCTTTAGAATGCAAATTGATTCAACACTTTCATCAACTCAATTCGCTTTGATAGATAATATAAGTTATTTCTCAGATTCGAAAAAAGAGATTCTTTTCTCAATGCATTCAGTATTCAGAATTGATGAAGTTGTACAGATGAATGATCGATTATGGCAAGTCAATTTGTCACTAACAAAAGACTCTGATGAACAACTGAACCGTCTTACTGAATACCTGAGAATAGAGACAAAAAGATCAACAGGATTGCATCGTTTAGGTCAACTAATGATCAGAATGGGCGCATTAAATAAAGCCGAAGAAATCTATGAGACGCTTCAACAGACGATATGCAATCATGATTGGAGAGAACTTGCTCACGTCTACCACATGCTAGGATACATAAGTTCTATGAAAGGAGATCTTTCTAAAGCACTCTCTCATAACAAGAAATCTCTCAATGTCAAATTAGTTTATCTATCATCCAATGATCCTGAACTATCTGCAACCTATTGCAATATTGGTTCAATTTTATGTCGTCAAAATGATCTTCACAGTGCATTAGAATATCATGAATCTGCTCTTAACATTGATCTTAGTACCCTACAACCTAATCAATTGCAGATTGCAGCTGCTTATAACAACATTGGTGAAGTATATCGACTTATGGGAAATAACTTATTGGCACTCTCATACTATCAAAAGACTTTTGAAATAAAGAAAACTTCTCTTCCGCCCAATCATCCATCATTAGCTGATACTTCTAATAACATTGGTGGAATCCTTTATTCTATGGGTGATTATTCGAATGCACTCTCATATTATGACAAGGCATTTGTTATTCAAGAAAAATATCGTCCACTCTATCATCTTTCTCTGATAAAAATCTACAATAATATCGGTGCAATATATCGAGTAATGGGAGACAATTCCACTATGCTGTCATACTATATGAAAGCATTGAAAATTCAACAAAAATCTCTTCCAATCAATGATCCATCGCTATCTATTATCCATAATAACATTGGTGACATACATCAACAAATGGGTGATTATTCTGTTGCACTCATTTACTATGTTAAATCACTTGAAATTCAACAAAAATCTCTTCCATCCAATCATCCATCGCTGGCTACTACATACAACAATATTGGCAGTGTGTATCAATCAATTGAAGACAATATCACTGCATTATCATATTTCATAAAGGCCATCAAAATTATGGATGAGCCTATATCAACCAACCATCCCTCATTGATTGAGATTTATAATAACATTGCTGGAGTTTATCATGCCATGAATGATTACACTACTGCACTCTCATTCTTTCAAAAATCACTTGAAATTGTAGAAAAATCTCTTCTACTTAATCATCCCTCATTAGCTATTGCTTATAATAACATTGGTGGTGTATATCAAGCGATGGAAGATTATTCGAAAGCACTTGAATTCTATAAAAAAAAGCGCTCGAAGTCCAACAAAAATCTCTTCCATTTAATCAGACATCGTTAGCTACCACATACAATAACATTGGTGGAATATATTTTATGACAGATGATTACGCGAATGCATTATTATGTTATGAGAAAACATTTGATATTAGACTAAAATCTCTTCCTGCGAATCATTCAGATTTGGCTATTACTTATAATAACATTGCTGAGGCACATCGATCGATGGGAGTTTACTCGGCTGCACTCGTATTCTTTGAGAAACTTCTTGAAATTCAACAAAATTCATTTTCAATGAATTATTCCACACTGGCGTTAACGTACAACAAACATGGTGAGACTCAAAATTTGATTAGAGATCAGTTCCAAGCACTTGAATCTTTTCAAAAAGCCATCAAAATACAACAAAAAGCATTACCTCCAGATCATCTTGATTTCATCATAACTCATAACAATCTTGGTAGAGTTCATTATTCTATAGGAAATTATTCGGTTGCACTGTCACATTTTGAGAAGGCGCTTGAAATCGCGACAAAAGCATTTGGATTCGATCATGTTTTGCTATCCTTCATCATATGTAACAATATTGGAAAGATATATTGATCTATAAGAGACAATACAACTGCACTCATCTACTATAACAAAGCACTAGAAATACAAGAAAAAACCCTTTCATTGAATAATTCTTCGAGAGCTATTACACATATTAATGTGGTCCGCGTCTTTGAAAATCTTCATCAATACAAAGATGCTATTGAACATGCATTGCAGGCAGTAGAAATCACACATTGCGTATTTGGGCCTGATCATTCTCAAGTGAAAACAAATCAAGATTACCTTGATGAACTTTGTAGAAAACTATGATGAATGTTATGTTGAATATGAAGATTATGGCTGTAATCATGATATTTTGCTTATTAAATTCTTTTAAATATTCAGTAACGTCAGAACAGTATCGTAAAAATTAAGTCTAGAATTCTACATACACATACATTTTTCGAATAAATACTTTTTGTCCCTTTATTTAAAATAATAGGGTGACTGTGGGTGTGGGTCTTTTGTTTCCGTGTACTCGTACCAGCACTCCAACAACACGCACACAGACACACTCTAAAAAAAAAAGGTATCCTCGAAAATCCTTAGAGGGTTTCCGAATTTGTTATTCTAGTAGAGTGTGGGTGCGGATCTTAGAGGATAGAATACTTACTCATACACCCATATTCACATTCACACCTATATACCCACACCCACACCCATAGACTATGTGCCCCAGTAAATAGACGATATGCAGGTTTCCAAATAGCTCATTTTAATCAGCTTTTCTAGCTTTATCTTTTGGTATATTGTATGAAAAACATTTCTGACTTGTTGAAGTATAATTCTAATAGACAGTAATGTCACGATTTTTGACTGTTTTGTTGATCGCAGATAGAGAGTGCTTAAAAGTCGGTCCAGGCTAACTCTACCATAGAATATCCAAATAAGCTAAAAGTTTGGGTTTTATGGTCTCAGACTATGGCCTTTCGAACGCATACAAAAAATCGAAAATTTAAACTCTGACCAATGCCTCCGTTTCTCAGTGCTCTCAGGAATTCTCTCTTAAATGCTTCTCCTATACATGAGTGTCTCCTGTGAATATGCTCGTATGTGGATTGATCACGTCACACAATCGATCTTCTATCCAATTGTGTCATGAATCAAATTAGAAAAAAAAGCTTCATTCAAACTGTAAAAGCCTTTTCTTTCATATTCAAATTGCTTGAAGAACAAATAACTTTTAAAATGCAAATATTCAACGAGAAAAGAAAAAAAATGTTTAGTCGTCGATGAAATTTCATACGAGAAAAATAATCATTTCGAAGACTTGCAGAAAGTGCGAGAAAGCCATAAAATATTATCATTCTAAATGAATCCATCGAAAAATCAGGTGTATTCGTTACAAAATATTTAAAAATTAATACTTGGCAGCATAGTTAGTAATCATAAGTAGGGATGGGTCTTTTAACTTAATTTAATATTAAGTGTTAAGTAAAAGCACTTAACTAAGTCACTTAATTAGATCAAATTAAAAACAAAGATCTATCCTTAGTGGTGACAATATTTACATTGGTGGATGATACTCATTCTTTGCTCTATCGAAATAAATTCACTGCAACAGGCAACAGAGAAAAAAAACTGAAGCACTATTACCTGTATGTTCTTATCGTTATCTAGCTAAAGACCTTCATTATTATTGTTCGTGTAAACATGAAGAAGATGAAAGAGCAAGTACGTAGCAGTGTATCAAAAGGCACAGTTCTCATTCAATACTTTCTATTTCTCTCGTTTATATTGACTTCATTCAACATTACTTCCATCACTTTTCTTTCACTTTCGTTTGCCCTTTGTTTATTTCTCTTTTCTTTACATTCGGAATGACTTAATTGTTCGTCATTGTATGCGCGACACAATCTCGCTCTCGACGAGAGTTAAATTTTTCGACGTCTACGAGTTTCTCTCTTTGTTGTTTTCTTTTAACGAGGGGCAATACAGAAAGATAAGGTTAATAAAAAGACTCACTCAGTGTGCCGCACAAGTAGATAGGGTTTGGGTGTGTAGTGTGGGTGTCGATGTCGGTGTTCGTGTAGACTCAGAGAATACTCACACTAACACCCACACCCACACCCACACCGACACCCTCATTTTGCATCATACAACATATTTGGTAACTAGTTTAACAAATATGCTCTACCAAATAAGAAAATTTTCGTCTTTAGAGATAATTTTCCCGAAATAAGTCTTTGCAGTTAAATATGATAAGATTCGTTTAGAATATTCGATAGTAATGTTGCCGATTCCATATATGCTTATGCATCAAGCAAAGTTAAGATTTAGATAAAATAACGTATAATTTCAAAAATGTTTTAATTCAAAACACAAAATCTAAAACAAAAAAAAGTATTTGAATTACTCCTAAGAAAATTTTAATGATTACCAAAGAAATTTCTTTCGAATTTGCTTGATAATTTCCATTTCTCATAAAAATACATAATCAATAGTTCTATATTGAATTTTAGTTATGTATTACTCAATGCATATTTTTCTTGTTTAGTATTATCAGAATAGACAATATTCATTGTTAATTCTCATATCACTTGATGCTTCATTTGCCTCTCGAAAGTCATTCAAAGATACCGTTTGTTTTATGATTTTTATTCATTCATCACTAATATTGTTCTTGTTAATAATAAAATTTTACAATATGAAATCATAATCATAATCATAATCATTTTTTAATATGAGAAGATTGTTAGATAGAGATACGCTTTCAAAAATCTTGTCAACTTTGAGCATCAATCAACTTACTGTAGTTTCAATTTTATTATGAAGAAAATGTAACGAAACGGTTTACGTGTCATCATGTAAACCAAATCAGAGTATCATTTTGCATGAGTCATAGAGAAATTTTAATAAATCATGCTTTCTGCAGTCTATTGGTACTTAAAATAATGACAATAAAAACAAGTACAAATAATATTTAATTCAAGCTATTTGAAATCATATTTAAGCATAGAAAAAAGGAAAAATCACATTATCTTTTAAGTTAGAATCATTCATAATAGTTTGCCAAAAGATGAATGTAAATTTATAGAATCATTTGAACAACAGCAAAAATATTATAAGAAAAATATGTTGAAGCGTGGAATATAGTTTTTGTATCATTAATCTTACTTGACAAATAAAAATAAATTACTTGATTTTTCGAAATATTTCAATGAATACGTTTTTCTTAAATAGTTTAACAAGATCGATTTATCTTTCTTTTGATTAAGTTACTTTTCTTATAAATACTTGATCCACACTAGTTCTAAGAATGCATTATAATTAACAAGATCATACGAAATATAAATTCAAAGAGTAAGTGGGTAAACATTGATAAGTGATATTCACATCCACACCTTAGCAATACTTCATAGTCTTCGAAATTCAATATCTCGAGAAAAAAAACATGTATTTGAGATACGCTTTTTAAAAATATTCTGATGATTCTAATGTCTGTCAATAGACAAGAATTCAGTAGCTTATCTGCTATATTCACACAACAATATCCAATACTATGCTTGGATCCATATCTATGTTCGCTCTCACGATATACATAATCAGTAAAAGGCGTGTGAGTGTGACTGTGAATGAGAACAAGAGTAAAATTGACACTCGTGCTCAAAACAATATCATGCATTTGATCATTCAATAAAACCGAAAATATGCGATGAATTTCATCATTAAAAAGAAATCAAAACCACTACAATAGTTTCGTTACTTTTCATGTTTCTTTTTTATGAGTTTAGTTTTTTTAAGAAAAAGTAAAGTTATCACATTACTTTTATTTGATTTATTTATTTGAACCATTAAATTTTTATAAGTTTATAAATGACTGAATTACTAATTCTTTTTCCATTTCTCAACGAACAAACATATACGAAAATTAACTGAGAGTGTGTATGGGCTGTGCGTGTTGGTATTTTTTTTC